TCAGTTAGGTTCGGTTTTGAGAAAAAATAAATGGAGCAAAATCGAACTCACATCAAAATAGAATTCAATCGAATTTATGCTTGTGTTCCATTACGCCATGTCTGTGTCAGACTAAAGTTTTGATTGTTTTTGGTTCATTTGGATTAAGCCGGGCTGCTTCAACCGGATTATGTCGATTTCTTCAAAAGTCTTGTGGCTTGTTTGCCTTTGCAGTCTTGAATCTTGCTCCCCTTTCCGCTGGAAATAAGCCAAGTTAAGGATCCCTAACAACCTACTTGGGCCCTTCTTGAAACAATGGGCAACCAAAGAATTTCGCATGGCAAATACGGGTTTTTTTAGCAAGAAATTTGGGAATTTCTTGTATCTTTTAATACACCTAATAACACCATTACCACCACGTTCTAATGTAGACGTAATGAAGGATTTTGAACTTCTCGTTCAGCGAATCAAATCGCTGAGGCTAGAGGTAAATATTTTGGGGGATTTAAATTGTAATGTGGCTGCTTGCCCACTAGAATCACATACAAAGAATCTTCTGGAAATTTGCAACCTTTACCAATACCACCAGCTGATAAATGAACATACCCGAATCACTGAAAAATCCGCGACTACTATTGATTTATTCCTAACAAATAACAAGGAAATTTTTACGCAATCCGGGGTACGGGTCTGTCACATCGGAATAAGTGACCATTCTCTTATCTATGGAGTTAGAAAATTTTGTATTCCCAAAGGGAAACCAAAGATCGTGGAGTCGCGACAGCTTAGGAATTTTGATGCTAATTCATTCCTCGCTGACCTTGACCTAGCACCTTGGCACCTAGTTCGTCTGGAAGATAATCCAAATCGTGCCTGGGAAATTTGGTCACGTCTGTTTTTAGAAATATGTGACTTCCATGCACCAAAACGTAAAAGGAAAGTAAGAAATAATTATGCTCCCTGGCTAACACCAGAGATAAAAAGGATGATGTTTGAAAGGGACAAACTGAAAAGGGCTGCAATTATCAACAATTCAGATGCTCATTGGACCGAGTATAAGATTGCTCGAAACATTGTAAACTCTAATATCAGGAAAGCAAAAACTAACTACTATAAAAGGTATTTCGAAACAAATCTAGGGGATATTAAGAAATCATGGAAAGGAGTAAATTCAATATTGGGCCGAAATTTACCAACAACTGAAATAAATAGAAGAGATGTTGGGGATAACTCAAGTACTACCCCATTAGAAATCTCTAATGCTCTTAATTATCACTTTACTCACATTGGGCCTAGGTTAGCCGATAATATTCCCAAAACTAGTGTTTGTTTCGAGGACTACATTACGCCATCAGGTTCTAGTTTTACCCTGAATGAGACTCACTGCGGTGTTGTTCACCGTTTAGTGAGTTCCCTTCGAGTCGACAAGGCTACGGGCCTAAATGGTATTTGTGCAAGGCTTTTAAAAGAAGCTTGTCCTGAAATCGTGTCTTCTCTCACCCATATAATTAACCTATCCATTAGGTGTGGGTATTTTCCAGACGAGTGGAAAATTTCCAAAGTATTACCTTTATATAGCGAGGATATTAAGTCTGATCCTAACAACTATAGACCTATATCTATTCTACCAGTTGTCAGTAAAATAATCGAAAAGGTTATTTTCAAACAACTTTATGAGTACCTAACTCACAATAATTTGCTGACAGTTTCTCAGCATGGCTTCAGACCGATGCATTCTACTTTGACTGCCTTGCTTGAAGCTACTAACAACTGATACTTAAATATTGATGATGGCCTAATTAACAGTGTACTCTTTCTGGATCTTAAGAAAGCCTTTGATACGGTTGACCACAGTATATTGTTAAAAAAACTGCAACTTTATGGTCTCGACCCGCATGCAGTTCAGTGGTTCAAATCATACCTATCAAATCGCTTTCAGAGTACTTATGTAAAGGGAACTCTATCAGACTATCTTTCTGTTAGTTGTGGGGTCCCACAAGGTTCTGTACTTGGACCCTTGTTGTTTCTCATTTATATAAATGACCTACAAGAATGCGAGCTGTCATCATCTGCACTCATGTATGCTGATGACACCTCGCTTACCCTTTCCGCTTATGACCCCACAACTCTTGAAGAAAAGTTAAACAAAGACTTGGATGAGGTTCAAAAGTTGCTGAAATCCAATAAACTCACATTAAATGTCAAAAAGACAAGACATATGATAATTGGAAGCCACTACCGACTAAGGCATTTAAATGGTGACTTAAACGTTACTGTTAATAGTCAACAATTGACTCGGGTGACTTATTATAGATATCTGGGAATAGAGGTTGACGAGGCATTGGGGTGGCAATCCCATGTAGATACCATCTGTAAAAAAGTATCTGCAGGTATAGGGACCTTAAAACGTATTCGTTCCCTAGCTGGTGCCTCGCCAAACCCTACTGAAAATGTATGATGCTTTAGTCGCTCCTTATTTTGATTATTGCTCCGAAGTCTGGGGATGTATGGGAAAAGGCCTGTGTGACATACTCCAGAGATTGCAGAATAGGGCTGGGAGAATTATAACATTTAGTGATTATAATACAAGATCTGCGGATATCCTCCAACACTTGAGATGGGATACCCTTGAGCAAAGACGCTCTAAACAGCTCGCAATAAGTGTTTTTAAATCTCTAAATCTCTCTTTACCCTGACAGTTTAAAGAACATGTTTAAACCAACCTCCGGGGTTCATTCCTACAAGGTGCGAGGAGCCTCGAACAAAATTTTTGTACCAAGGCCGCGTACTGAAGCTGCTAAGCGGGCTTTTAGCTATAGGGGAGCAGTCATTTGGAATGGCCTAGAAAATGTGCTTAAAAACGAGATAAATCTCAACTCTTTCAAGTCTCCCCTGTCTTTGTCTTGAACCAGGGATTGCCTTGAGGGAGTTGAGATAGCATTTATGTTAGTTATTTAATGTACCTTTAAGGTTGATTGATTTTTGTGTAATTAATTATAGGATAGATTTTCTTAATATATAGATATATTTTAGCATTAATGTAGTTTCTCTGAAAATTTTGTTATATAAACGGCTCACTGGAAGAGCATTTTTAATGAAGTGATACCGTTAATAAAGCTTGATTGATTTGAGATCAAGCCGCCTTGCTAGTCATCAAACATGCTCTCTGAACGCTTGTGAATGTTCGTTAGAGAATCTCCTGATGACTTGTGTACGATTATCACCCGGGGGAAGGACTCCGCATATGAACGGGGTGGGGATGTTCGTTGGGAATTTTGAATTAAACCCCTAAAGGAGACCGAGCTGGGCGGGGCCCAAGCTTTTTTTGACCCCTACAAGAGACCATGTTAAAACACAGACAATATATATATTTTTATATTTTTTCGCTTGCAGCCCTAAACGAGACCTTCACGGCTAAATATGATGGCGTTTTGCCCAGAACACCCTAAGTGAGACCAAAATCCGAAATTTACATCCCTAAGCGAGACGACAAGCATCCCCACCCCTTTCATTTGGGGAGTCCCCCCCGGGGATTATCACAACATTGTTGCCAGTGATTGTATCTGTTCGGATGCCTTTTTAATAAGGGAACTTTAGGCCTTTATGTGGCTTTTACGTTTTGTCGAAAAGTGTCACATCAGCGACCATGATGGGTCCGGTCAAGATCATGGGGAAAGTTTTGTCTTTATACCGAAATTTCAAGGAACCTTTCCAAAAAATAATTGTAAAATCTTGGTAATAGAATGTGAAAAACAGGAACCTCAGTAAATCGAAGGTAAGTAATGAAAAAAATCCGAATATCTTAGACAGAGGAACGGTTAACCAGACATTTTTGCCCTTTTCGAACTTTCTAGGCAATAGAATTTGCTCCTTCGTTAATTTTACTGAAAAACGTCGTTGTGTGCCCCTGACTGATGTCTTTGCTGTTGTGTCATACGCTTGGTTAGCGAGCTAAAATTTGAATTCGCTTCCATGCATGAACATTTTAAATTTGACAGCTGACGAAAGCGTACATCAACACGTTCTTTATTATTGTTCATATTTTCCGGCAATCGTTTCTTGTTTAACTGCGGTAAGATATGACATTTGTGTTGACAGCCAATAATTCCTTCCAAGATGTTGCATAAACGGTAAAACGACGTGATTACGAATGTGTATATTGAGAATAAATAGATTACAATACTCAAAACATACGTCTGAGTTTACCAGTCTTATCGTTTGTTATTTGCTCTTAGTCTTGTTCAAAATCTATGCAATAATGACATTTCGATAGTGATCTTATTATAATATCATCTTAATTAATGGAGGTTTAATAATTCTCTTCAACTCTTGAAACACAAATATTTACACATGGTTTAGTTCAAATTGTATAAGTCGATGAACAAGAAAAAAAGGCTTGCTCTGTTAATTTATACATTGTACTTTGAAATCAACAAAGGCCTTTATCACTCCAAAGTTCTTAGTATTACACAAAGCAGTTCACTTCGCCAACATGTTCGATCCAAATTTGATTTGGTTTTATCTCTGTTTGGTGGCTGTACCTCAAATTGCTTGATCTGCCCGAGTCAACACAACAGCCTCGGATGGGAAAATGATTATTTCTGGGGATCATAACGAAGCTGTTGTATCCACTGATCGAGCTAATAAGAATACGCTCGCTAAGATAAAAAGCAGTTTGGAGTCAGTTAAGAAATCAAACGCAGAGCTCTTTTCTCGGGTTCAGGCGATCTCTCAGAGGTTGTCGGTTCTGGAAAGTCAAGGTACAAATTTTTGGGGTCGGTTGATGAAAAAAAAACCACGTCCGCGTAATAGTAAACGTTTACGATAAGAATTTTTTCTTCTCGAATTTCATTTTTGGTCAGTCCTCGTAGTGTAATTGTCATTTACTGAAGAACGCCGTTCGCTGTTTTGTCAAGGAGTCTCATGCTCGTTCTTTTCACCGAATTATTCTTTCAACAGCAAACGGCTACGCTTTGCAATTTACCCGTAACGGGACAAGTGACTATGTAATCAAACACGGCATGCCAAGCCTCAAGGCAGTCACAGTTTGTCTTTGGATGAAATCTTCAGATAAGAGAAATAAAGGAACACCATTGAGCTACGCAGCCTCAGGATCAAAGTTCGGCAATGAACTGTTTCTCCACGATTATAGAAACTTTTATTTCGCGATCGGAAGTAGCTACAGGTACGACTGTCTTAATAAAAGCTAGGTTGTAGTCAACAAACAGGCTCAGTATAAAACTGATTATTACGTACTACGGTGGTCCGTAAGTGCCATTCTAAGCAAGTAAAAAAGAAGTGCATTAAAATAAAGATTTTTGTTTTGGATCCAAAGTTTTTATCCAGCCAACATGAATTTCATTATTTGTCATAGCTCTTTTTCCCAAAGTTATTACTCTGGATCCAAAGTTATAACTCCTGATGATCGGATCCAAAGTTACTATTCCGGATCCAAAGTTATTTCTCCGTATCCAAAGTTATAAGTTTAACTCCGGATCCAAAGTTACTATTCCGGATCCAAAGTTATAACTCCGGATCCAAAGTTATTATTCCGGATCCAAAGTTATAACTCCGGATCCAAAGTTTTTATTCCGGATCCAAAGTTATAAATCCGGATCCAAAGTTATAACTCCGGATCCAAAGTTTTTACTCTGAATCCAAAGTTATTACTCCGGATCCAAAGTTTTTACTCCAGATCCAAAGTTTTTACTTTGGATCTAGAGTTATTACTCCGGATCCAAAGTTACTATCCCGGATCCAAAGTTATAACTCCGGATCCAAAGTTACTATTCCTGATCCAAAGTTATTACTCTGTATCCAAAGTTATAACTCCGGATCCACATTTTTTGCTCTGAATCCAAAGTTATTACTCCGGATCCAAAGTTACTATCCCGGATCCAAAGTTATAACTCCGGATCCAAAGTTACTATTCCGGATCCAAAGTTATTACTCTGTATCCAAAGTTATAACTCCGGATCCACATTTTTTGCTCTGAATCCAAAGTTATTACTCCGGATCCAAAGTTTTAACTCTGGATCCAAACTTATTACTCTGATCCAAAGTTTTTACTCTGAATCCAAAGTTATTACTCCGGATCCAAAGTTTTAACTCCAGATTCAAAGTTTTTACTCTGGATCCAAAGTTATTACTCTGGATCCAAAGCTACTACTCCGACCGGAAACAAATTAAGATTCAATCCAATTTAATTTTCCGATACTGGAGTATGGATAAGTGACATCCAGTTCACCATTCAACATGGCAGCGGGTGTTGTCGTCGTTTCCGTGTTCTTCAAGATTCATTTAATTCTCAGTGTCTCAGTATTCTAACAATTCAAGTTAATTAGCATTCACGCGTCGAAATCGGGCTCGCCTCTTTTCACTTCTACATTTCGAGGATTAATAGTGTGATTCGCCGAAAAAGGAAAACCGAAATATGCTGATGAGAAATTCGCTCAAAGGATGAAAAAACTCTTAGAAAAAACTACTTACACTAGCGTGAATTATCTCTGGGTCTTCGTTTGTAAGTCTGAATTCTTCTGTTCATGTCCACTGCTAGCTCAAACTGAATTTTTAAAACCTAGCGCTCGAATGAAATACCCTAAGGGAATTTAAGGGACCCGTTGCTATCGGCAACGGATTCAATTTATAACAGCGGGGGTGGGTAGAAAACGAAGACCTAAGAACTAAGACCCAAAAACGAAGACCCCCCTCAAAATCACTTAAAAATAAGTAAAATGGCTCCAAAGGCTCCAAATGGCTCCAAAGGATTGGAGCGAGTTACCTAATGAGTTACGGGTTGATGGCCTAACAATAGGATCTTTTAAAAGAAAGACATTTAAGTATTTGCGAGAACAAGACAAAACACAGCAAAAATGTAGATTGTACATTAATTCATTTTCGCTTTTCTTATTGTAAATATTAGTCTTTCGCTTTTTTACTAAGTACTATTGTTTCTTTTTTTCATTTATTACTGCACATAGGTTTACACCAGCTGTTTTTTTATATTCAGCTGATCTATTTTTTGCAATATAAGTAAAGTGTCACAATAATGATCTTAACTCAGATCTATTAAAGAAAAAATAACTGTCCTGCGGACAACTTTTATCCTTCTGGGGCCCAGTTGTTCAATAGGTGGATAGCGCTATCCAACGTGTAAATCACTACTCACTGGATAGAGCAATTGGTTTCCCTAATACTTATCAATTGAATAGAGATTCATCCGATGGATAGCCCTACCCAACTTTTGAACATCTGGGGCCTGCTCTTTTACTAGTATTGTAAATAAAGTACTGAACGAAAAAGCAGGTCACATACTTTCAAGGGTTGATGTCAAGTTATAAGTTACTTGAGATTTATCGTCTTATACAAGCATACAACATACCTTAGAATTTAAACTTTCAAACTGTATACGAAAATCCTGAGAAAACAATTACACGAACTCGACCTAGAAACAATAGGAATTTTCTAGGCAACTCGGCCCACCCCACTGCAATGTGGCAATTTGCCAGTCCCTGGCCAGTTACAGGGCGGTGCGGCAGTAACTGCATTCTTTCACCATGTCTGTGATTGTATTTATTAGAGCAGCATTTGTATCTTAAGATTTGAACGACAGTTCAAAATATTCGCAGATGTTTTCACATTGAATTTTGAGATTACTTCTTGGTTGGTCTGCTCGCAGATATCATGGCCGTCGTACCTGATGGGTTGTATTACGCCGATCTTGTTGAAAATATCTTCGACCTCCTTGCGTCTCTACGTTCATCAATAAGAAACGCAATTTCTTCTTGCCAGAGCACTGAGAGTAAATCTCCTTCGTCACAAATTTCAACATTCTCGGCTTTGGTCAGCCCTTTTTTCCTGCTGATTGCAGACAGTCTGGAAAAGAATGATTGAACTTGTTCCTCGGTAAGCCATTCGTCTCTGGAACGTTCTTGAACTACCTGTGTTTCTGGTCGTTCTCATGTTCGTTGCGACCTCAGAAAGGTCTGGTTTCCCGCCTGTTTGTGTATCAACATCAAATCGTGCGGTGAGGTAAGACTTGACTTTCTCGCTAAACCTTGTCCCGCCTCCCCTTAACTTCTGCAGCCGCCCATCCGCTAGCCTCGAATTTGCAGACACCACTAGGAGATTTTGGAAGTTTCTCGGTTGGCGGCAATTTTTACCGTCTGACCCCGACACTGTAACTTTTCACCGGCACCAGTCTGTTTTCCCTTATGGTCTGGATATCGGCATTCTGTGCGGCCAGTTGGATTACCCCAGTCCTTCCCTAGGGTCGCACGATGTATCGGACATACAAACATTTTTTCACCTTGTTGGGCATTTTTACCAAAATACCCAGCCCGCTGCAAAGTAAGTTCGCTCTCTGTAATATTTTCTTTCGTTAAGTGACATCGCCTCGAATGAGCCGTAATAACGCTCACCTGTTACATTGACTAAGAGGCACCAACTTGCTTGCTCCAAATCCCCTTTCATTTCGTGACAACAATCCTAATTAGCATATGACCATGCAGAAAACCCAAAAGGAAATTGAGCTGAATTCAGCCTTTATTAAAGAGCCTTTTAGTTGCTGAGACTCCAAACTCAAAAAGGGCTTCGTTTGAGCAGAAGTGAATTGCATTCTTTACGATTTTGAAAATTACTGAAGTCGACAACCCGCTGTAAAGGAGCTTTTAAATTTGTATAATATACGAGTAGATGAAGAATTCCTACATGTATTTTATGACATTTTATGCCGGTTTACAGGCCTAAGATGGCTTATAAAACAACAAATGTGCGTTATTTTGACGAAACATACCAAGATTCTGCCCCGTGGGAAAAATATCAGCCTTATCATATGAGTTTAAGTGTGGGCGCCAAACGTGCAATTTAAGGTAAATATTGACAAAAGGAGCTCTCAAAAACGCTTGTTCGCGTCCGACGCAGAATGTTGCCCGTACCTTTGACTTTATTTTCTAACAGAATAAGGTAAGGTCTTTGCTGTGAAGTGCATTTTGCCTGTGATTTTTGTACCGCTTTGGAGATTTCAGCGTTTACTTTGGAGGAATTTGTCAAGGGAGCAAAAACACCGCAAAGTGGCTCGTCTTTGATCTTATCAATTTAATTTTCTTTTGCGTCAAATTATCCAAGATTCCGTCATAGGACAAGTCAAATGCAGCTAAATCCATTGTACTATGTAGAATTTCGCGATATTTATCCGTTACGAAGAAGCGCGGCTTTTAAAATTGCTGAATTCTGGCCATTGAATAAAGTTGAAAAAGCGCTCTCAGACAGGAAAGAAGTTTTGTGCTGTAACGAAGCACAGAAAAAGATTTTGAAAAAAATTAGCTCGATTTTAATCATTCCTCATTAAGTCCTTTTCACCCACAAAAAATAAAGGGAACGTTTACCGGCGATCCCAAACTCGCCGGACCGCTCTTAGGTGGACAGCCACTTAAATGTCTTTCTTTTAAAAGATCCTATTGTTAGGCCATCAACCCGTAACTCATTAGGTAACTCGCTCCAATCCTTTGCTCCTGTAAATTTAAAGGTAGACTGGCCAATAGTGGATTTTACTTATTTATAAGTGATTTTGAGGGGGGTCTTCGTTTTTGGGTCTTAGGTCTTAGGTCTTCGTTTTCTACCCACCCCCGCTGTTATAAATTGAATCCGTTGCCGATAGCAACGGGTCCCTTAAATTCCCTTAGGGTATTTCATTCGAGCGCTAGGTTTTAAAAATTCAGTTTGAGCTAGCAGTGGACATGAACAGAAGAATTCAGACTTACAAACGAAGACCCAGAGATAATTCACGCTAGTGTAAGTAGTTTTTTCTAAGAGTTTTTTCATCCTTTGAGCGAATTTCTCATCAGCATATTTCGGTTTTCCTTTTTCAGCGAATCACACTATTAATCCTCGAAATGTAGAAGTGAAAAGAGGCGAGCCCGATTTCGACGCGTGAATGCTAATTAACTTGAATTGTTAGAATACTGAGACACTGAGAATTAAATGAATCTTGAAGAACACGGAAACGACGACAACACCCGCT